TCAAAAGGGCACTGTTAGTATTTTTTGCCGACTTCAATTAACGTGAGATTTCAGAGGCCCCTCTGATCACATTTCATCTGTCACAAGTCAGGAACAAAACAGACAGATTCCAGTTGAGAGGAGGAAGGAGAAGGAGTTTATTGCAGACAACAACCAGTTTGGGCTGTGCCCAGCAAAGGGCGTTCTGGGAACATCCAGCCGATTCTGCTCCCCACTTTGCCCCTGGCCTCACCCCCCAAGACCTCCTTCTCCTCAAAAGTCTTCCCTTCCCCAAAAAAGATGTAAGTGCAATAACTTACTTTAAAAGTCAAGAACATTTCTTTTAATATTTGCTATAATGTACTTGTAGTTACATGATGGTATAAGCAGTAAAACTTTATGGAACCAACCTCATTTTTTTTGTTTTTTTGTTTTTTTTTTTACATTTTTCTGAATTTTTAATGTATTTTTTAATATATAATATATATTTTTTAATATTCCACCCCAGGCCATTAAGCTAAAGGAAAAGTTGCGTTTATACAGGGTTAAAATATCTTACAATAAGAACAGTGAGTATTGGTTGAGGTTCGTGTTCCTTCTAGCACTCAGCTCTCTTCTTCAACCACTGCACACTCAGATTATTCAACATTAAAAACTGTCCTTCACAATCAGTAGTATAAAGGCCTAGCTCTATGTGTGTAAGTGAAGGAGGGAAGAAGGAAGGGGCTAGATTAGGGAACGTTTTGTTCAATGATGTCAGTACTATTTGACGGAAGGACCTTTCCTCTCTACAGCATTCTTAAGGAAAAGGAGTTGATGTGACTTTGGGAAGTGAGGTATTGGTCTCCCTTCTCACTTATTTTTATGGTCATGGGTTATTATCCTGGGCGCCAGTTTGCCAGTTATCCACCACCACCTCCCAGCTAGACCTGCTGACCTTGCATCTGGCAGTCAGGGCCATCACACAAACCAGAAGTCCCAGGATGTCTTACAAACCCTAGAAGATGGCCTCTCGCCACGATGTAGCCAGACAGTGAATGTGTATGTGGTGGTTTTCACAGAAACGTTCCGGCCAGAATGCATAGAGAAGAGGAACTGGAGTTTGACATCAAAGATGAGGTGAAACGCATGTGAAGTCGTTTACTATAGATTGGTAAGTAAGCACAAGTTAAGTCTCTGCTTACTTGCTTATTGGGTAATCCACAATTGCTGGTGACCCACCTTGCGACTGGTGCCCCCACCTTCTTGCTATGTCTTTGAACTAACCTGGCTACCCTACTTCCCAAAGCTGGAGGCACCTTAGTGAGAGCTGAGAATCAAGTATAAAAATTCAAGGAAAGTTACACAAGCCCATGTCCCCCAAGTGCCATGTAAGACTTGGAGGCAAGCCTCTCTGTGTGACTCCAGAGCCCTCTACTCCTGTACCCTGGGAGTAGTGATGGCATCTTAAGGGTGGTAGCAGCACCTTAGTGTTAAGCCTTGGCATGCTGACATTTCTTCCCTGCAGGGAGGAGAGGCTCTCAGTGTTGGGGAGGCCGCCTACGGATCCGCCAGCTACCCCTCACTTCACGTTTGCATTGCCGTCTCTCTTGAGAATGTAGGCAAAGGAAATCCTCACCTCTTTTAGCTTATTTGGTCAGCAGTGAACCACATAGCAGGCAGATTATCCTCATCACCTGCCTTCATGAGACTGAGCTCCTGAGGAAGCAAGACAGCCATGGGAGAGATGTCCAGGCTGCTTGGTCCATAGGAGCTGCTTCAGTGGATGCCTCCTGCCCTAGAATGTAGGAGGACGGGGCCTGGCCACCAGCTGCGAAGGAATCAGGGTCCACCAAGGTTCTCTTCCCAGAGTGAAGGCTGGGGAGAAGAGGACAATCAGAGAAGAGTTGGCGAGTGGATGGACGTGGATCACAGGGCGCTCAGCACAACACCAGCTGCCAAGAGGCCAGCCAAGGCTGCAGCCATCAGGGCTGGGACAGGCTGTCCCAGCTGCACGGTTAGCTTTGCCTTGGGTCAAACATAAGCCAGGACAGTCACTTATCCACTTGGGAGTGGGGTCTTTTCATCTCTTGTGAAGGGGTTGGACTAGCTAGAGGGTTTCTAAGCTCCCTTTCAGCTCTGTGGTTCTAGGAGTCTTAGATTGGCAGCAGGCCCTAGAGGCTGGGACAAGAGGAAAGAGGACAGGCCTGGGATAACTACCTTTGGAGAGATGAATAAGGATGTGTTACACCTGTACGTTTCACATACCCATTCTTGGCTGTGAAGGCCACAGAGCCTGCTTCTACAAGAGGCTTTTTCTTCTCAAGCTTTTGGGTTGAAATTTGCCAGACTTGGGTCTACTGTAGTCAGAAAGCAGGCACATAGAGGAATTGAGCATCAGGGGTCCCTTCCAGATGAATCCACTTAAAACTCTCTCCCGTCCTTCCTCTTTGAGGGAGTGGGACCTATCTTGGTTCTCTCTCTTTGTACTAATTCTCTCCTTGGTAAGAAAATACCTCTGAAAGTTGCTCCCTTGTCCTTCCCCAGCCTCTACTGCATTTAAGAAAGAAACTGGTGGACCATCCCTGCCTCAAGTTCTTTCTTCCTTTCCCTTCCTATATTTTGGGGAGTCTAAGTTATTTCAGTGAACTCCAGAACTCAAACTTCCTGAGAATCATTCCAAAATCCTCAAATAAATGGAACACTTAAAGCCAAGCCTTCAAGAACATTTAATTCCATGTCCAAGACCTTTTTAACCTCTATAAGATCAATTTTAGAGCTACAGTACACAAAGAAGTCTGACTCTTGTTAAGGGAGGCCAGTGCCAGATCCCTCCCTACTCTTGTTTCTGGAGCTTTACTTGCCATGGGAGGCAGCTAGCCTCCAGATGCAAGCTCCAGGCAGAGGTGGGCACCTGGATTCCCTCTGAAGCCTTGAACAGCTCAAGACAAAGGGTCTTACTCCTCTCCACCATGATTTTGATTCCACCTAACTTAAGGGACTGTTCTGGGCCAGGAACCTGAACCTGGCAGACCTCCACACTGAATCAAAGAAGAAGGAAGAAAAGCCAAGAATTTCTCCCCACAGGAACCACCTGGAGGACTTCCCAGGGGTCTGGAAGACCTTTCTCAGAGAACAGTAATTGTGTGCTACAGGCTTAGGTAAGGGCTGGGACTTGGCACCACAACCCAAGCTGTAGGTTCCAAATCAGGCATATATCTGAGGGGGAGCCACCCCTAGAAGCAGGCTACTGAGGGAAATGTGGCCTCAGGAGGGCATCTTGTCAGCCATTTCTGTAACACAGCAACTGACCCCAAGAAGCTCAGCCCCATGAACCCTTCCAAAGGCCATCATGAGCTTGAGAGTGTTTGAGATTTCTAGTCCCCAAGGGAAAAAATATAAGGGTAGGCTCTCTAAGAACATGCAAAAGGCTACAAGAACACTCTCCTCTGTGACTGGAGGAACACAGACACCCGCCCCCCCATCCACTGTGGGACACTGTGGCAGGGATGATGCCGGGTCAGAGAGGGCTGAAGAGGGGAGGGAGTCAGATTGAGGCCATGTAAGAAAGACTGTCTTGCCTGGAGACATGGGCACTTGTCCTCTAGCAAATCCTGCAATGCTTTGGCCCCTCTACCACTGTGACCCTAAGCACTAGCTTATGTGCTCTGAGTTGTAAGGCCTTCCATTCCAGGACACTGCTGAGCAGCCCCAGTGAGTGGCCAGGGCAGGGCTGCGGAAGGGACAAGCATCTCCACCTCCTCCTGGAGGGGCCTGGCTGGGCTCGAACATGGACTGCACAGAAAGCAAAGCTGCCCAGACCTCCCACTTGGAGTCTGGGCTTCAAACTGGTTCTTCATGGTTCAGTCATGGCTGAGGAAGCTAAACTGAACAGATCACAGTTTTTTCAATTTGGGTGAACTGGAGCGATAACTGGAATGGGAAAATGGCAGGTTGAAGCCCTGCTAGAAACTTAATCTCCCTCTTAGAAAACAAGGGCAGCATATGTGTTGCATAGCAACCAAATCTCTTGCCCATGGGATTTTGAGCAGAGTCAGAAACAACGGTGCCCTGCTCAAAGATGGCAGCCGACTGCACCGCTTTGATTGTGTGTCTCTCTCCACAGTCCTGCCAAAATTGAATCTCACACATCAGGCTTCTGAGAAAGCTCATGACACCTCTTCTGAGTCTTCCATTCCAAGGCTTTGACCCATAATTTTTCCCATTCTGGTTATCACTCCCCATCACCCAAATTTTAAAAATTCGAGTCTGTTCCAGTTTCACTTTGTCAGCCATGACTGAACCGGTTCAAACCAGTTCAAAGCCCTGCCTGAAGCCTGTCACACCTGCCCTCTGCTGGATGGCTGGGGGAGAGCGGAAGTGTGTGTTCCCTGACCCATCCCACCGTGCAGCTACCCCTTCCTGTCTCCTAGATGTTTTTCTTTTTCTAGCAGCACATATGCCCCTTGGGGAACCTGTTCTCTCAGCCTCCTTCAAGGTCTGGCTCCTCCCCCAGCCAGTGTTCACCCAGAACCAGAGTCTCTGGAGTTCGAGGGAGCTGGCACATGTCTTCTCTGGGGACTGTCTGTCCTTCTAGATGCTGGATGGCTGCAGATTCTTCAGCAGCAACTCCTCTCCCTCTGGGTGTATCCAGCCCAGGCGGCACTGTTGCCACAGTGCCTCGTGGGTGAGGGCGAGGCATCGCCTTGGCCTCGGTTCTGGCAGGTCGGGTTCCATGTGCTTTTAGGAAGAGAGAAGGAGGAGACAGGGCAGGAGCAGATTCTGGAGCAGCCTTTTCTTCAGACACACTGTCATTGGCCTGGTGACCAGGGACCACACAGAAAAGGGAAGATGGGTATCACCAGATGTTGGTGCTGCTGGATGGGGATGGGAATCTAACTTTGACCCAATGCTCACACTGGGCAGGGTGAGGAGGAGTGGCGAGGAAGGGTGTTCAGCTTATAATAGATGCAAAGTTGCAAACCATGGCCACCTGGCTCTCTCCGCTGTCTTCCCAGGAGCAGGGCTCTCAGGACCCATCACCAAGGAGGGGCAGGGGCCCACTGCTCCCTTCCTGCCAGCAGTCCATGGGGCCTCAGACTTGGGGCGGCTGAAAGTGCTGAGGATCAGGCCCCTGGGCCAGGCAGGCCAGGTTCCTAAGAGGAAAGTCGAGTGGGAGGCTGGGGGCCTGGAAAGCATGGGTGTGGCCAGTGCCCCGAGGTGGGGGAGGGCACAGGGATGGGGCAGGAGGGGCCCTGTCATGTGGCCCAGGAGATGGCTGCGCTGTGCTCCTTGGCCTTCATGCGGAGGGCCGCGATGCTGGAGGTCTTGCGGTCCGGCTCACCGTTGAGCTCATAGCCGTTGAGGCCCGGGCTCAGGCCAGCGGCTCCAAACAGGCTGCCCACATGTGTCTGGCTCACATGACTGCCGGTCCCGGAGACGCTCAGGAAGTCGGTGACACCCCCGGCCCCAGAGCCAGGGGGGTGGGCGTGAGGGGACATGCAGGCAGGCACTGGGTCACAGGGGACCACACAGGCTGGCACAGGTGAGGCAGCCCCATTGTTGCCAATCCAGGACGGGTTCTGAATCTGGGGAGAGTGAAGGGAGAGATGTCACCACCCAGCTGGGGGAGAAGACAGCCCTCTAGTACGTAAGGGGCTCTCCCCTTCCCTCAAATGACCACTTCTCACTAAAGAGCCTATCATTATAATGACCCCACTCTTGAGCATTTACATGGGAGGCTCACAAAAGCTTCATGAACACCAGACACCCCTAGAGGGTATGGCTTTATGCTTTGGTGGTGCCCTGTTCCCAGGGCCAGGCGGTCAGCAAATGTAAAGGGAGTTTTAAGGACTAAACTTCTAACTTCATCAACCAAAATAAATAAATAAATACACTGCCATCGAGTTGGGTCCGACTCATAGTGACCCCTCCTTGAGTTTCCAAGGCGGTATCACTACGGAAGTAGATTGCCCCATCTTCTTTCCAAGGAGTGGTTGGTGGGTTTGAACCGCCAGCCTTCTGGTTAGCAGTCAAATGCCTTAAGTACTACACTAACAGAGCTCCTCAACTTCATCAAACCAAAAAAAGCCAAACTCACTGCCATTGAATCGGATTCGATTCATAGGGACCCCTCCTTAGGTTTCCGAGGCGGTATCACTATGGAAGTAGATTGCCCAACCTTCCTTCCAAGGAGTGGCTGATGGGTTTGAACTGCCAGCCTTCTAGTAAGCAGTCAAATGTCTTGGGCACTATACCACCAGAGCTCCCTCAACTTCATCAAGGGTCCAGTAAAAGGATTGCCCAGGGCACAGCTAATCAGCTTAGTACAGCTGGAGCTGCTCAGCAAGGCCCTGACTCCCTAATTTCACACACGGTGGTAGGCTTTGTCTCTCGTCTATGGAGTCCTGAAGGGCAGGACTGGGTCTTAGGCACTTCTGACTCCTCCACCAGGCCTAGCACATAGTACCCACTGCCATCGATTCTAACTCATAGTGACCCCCATAGGGTTTCCAAGGCTGTATATCTTTGGGGAAGTAGATTGCTTCATCTTCCTCTCTTGGAGCAGGTGGTGGGTTTAAACCACCAACCTTCTGGTTAGCAGCCAAATGCCTTGCCCACTGTGCTACCAAAGCTCCTAGTGCACAGTAGGTACTTGGTAAATGTGAGCTAACCTGAACTCTGAGCTTCGGCATCCGGACTGTGGGGCTCTGCATTTGCAGGTTGTGGTGGTGGCAGGGGTGGAGGGTGAGGTGGGTCGTAGTGGTGCCAGGGGTCAGGGGTGGGGGGTGAGGTGGGTTGTGGTGGTGCCAGGGGTCAGGGGTGGGGAGTGGGGTCTCAATTCTCCCAGGAGCCAAGGTCAGTGGCTGTGGTTCCAGGGGCTGAGCCCTTAAGCATTCAGAACTACCTCACAATGAAAGGAACCCCTGGGTGGTGCAAATGGTTCAGGCTTGCCCACTAGCCAAAAGGTTGGTGGTTCAAACCCACCCGGAGGCACCTCCGAAGACAATCTGTCTTCTGAAAGATGAGTTTTGAAAGCTCTGTGGAGCGGTATTACTCTGACACATGTTCACCACAAGTTGGAATCAATTTTCTGGTAACCAACAGGGCTTACCTCCCTATGGAAGGGGCTGCCTCAGGGAGTGGCAAGTGCCCAGAACTGAATGGATGGAGGCCCAATCGATGCCCTAGGGCAGAGGACACTCGGGTATCCAGTAGGGAGTTCAACAGCTTATCTTCCACCTGTGCAACTGAAATTCCTTCTCCCTCTCCAGCTCAGGACTCCAGGCTTCCTTTTTCCTCCACTCTCTAAGCATTGATGAGGGGTCGACCTTAGGTGTGGAGCAGGGTGAGCTTTGAAGAGGAGTGCCATCCTATGCCTCTCATATACTGAAGGGCTTATCGCAACAGACTCCTGCTGGCCTGCCTTGCCCACCTGCAGGCTGCACTCTGGGAAGCCGTTTAGGAACAGAGTTGTGTACAATGGTGCCCCAAGTCCAAGGTACATCTTAATGGCCACAGAAGCTGTTTGCAGGTTGGCATTCCTCTGCCCTGGTTTAGGGAGTGGAGGTGGTTGGCTTTCCATACACCCCCTTTGAAGAGATCTGGGGCTGTGGGTATGAGCTGTCAGCCTTCTGGTTAGCAGAAGGGCTACAGGTGAGGGGAAGGAAGGTAGCTCTGTTTCCTCTGTTCCCTCCAACTTGTGAACACACGCAGCAGAGACCAAGGGGGGCGGAGCCAGAGCTAGAGATGAGGGAGGGCAGAGAGGGTGGGGAGCATGGGGAGACAGAGATGAAAGCATGTAGCAGGAGCCAGTCCAGATGGTGCGTGTACCAGACACCTCACATTCCTCAGCCTCACCTCCAGGCCTGACCCCCGACCCCCTCCACATGAATCCTGGGAGAGGGAGGTGCAGACCTGGTCTGGGTGGGCCGTTTGCTAGCACAGCACCGGGGCAGGGAGAAGTAGAGGAGACTTAGGGATGCCTGTGCAGCTGGCTGGCCTTGTGCAGGGCCGGGTTTGAGGCCATGCCAGGGTGAGGCTGAGCAGGGAGGGGACAGCCACCTCTGCCCAACGGTGGAGAGGGGTCAGGCCTGGATTCACCCAAAAGTCCATCTCTTAGTGCCCTGGGTGTCTGACATTACTAACAGTATTTCTTGTCCCTTTGCATCTCACTGAGGATTCAAGTGCCATCAGAGCAGGGGACTGGTTGACAGACATCTAGGAAGATGCTCTAAGGGGACAGGACGAGATGGGACATGGAACCAGGGAGAGCGGAGAGCCTGAAAAGTAGCCTTTTTGAAACTGTATAATCCACAGAGCACTTTATCTAATTTAGACCTTCCACTGTCCACCGGTGAGCTTGCATTGTGGTGGCTTGTCTGTTGCTATGATGCTAGAAGCCACGCCACTGGTATTTTGAATACCAGGAGGGTCACTCATGGTGGAGCTTCCAGACTGAGACAGACTACAAACAGAGACTGGGAGATCTACTTCTCAAAATTAGCCCATGAAAACCCAACCAATGAATACTGTCCAACTAGACTCAAATGTGCTAACGATCATGACAGTGACAAAGGACCAGACGGTGTTTTACGGGTCAGAGTTGACTTGATGGCCGCTAATAACAACACATGTAGACCTTACAAACCCACTAAAACCCACTGCCATCAAGTCGCTTTCAACTCATAGCGATCCTCTAGGACAGAGTAGAACGGGCCCCCATGGAGTATCCAAGGCTGTAAATCTTTACAGCAGCAGACTGCCTCATCTTTCTACTGCAGAGCTGTTGGTGAGTTCAAATCATTGAAGCCTTTTGGTTAGCAGCTGAATGCTTTAACCACTGCACCATCAGAGCTCTTCACAATACCTTCCAAAAGAGTTGTGCAGATACGTTTAAATGTCCAATTTACAGATGAAAAACTAAGGCTCACAGAGCTTGTGACTTGCCTGAAGTGAGAAAGACTTGGAGCTGGGATGACAACCCAAGTCTTAGGACTCATACTTCCATGTTCATTCCAACTTTGCTACCAGATTTCAGGAGTCCCTTTCCTAGGAAACATTCTCTTGAGTGTTTCCTGCTTGCCTGGAGGTCCCTGGCCTTAAGCTTGTGTCAGTTCTGATGCCCATCGTAAAACTAGCTGAATGATGGAGGAGAAAGCCATTCTTATTGCATTTTCTAGGGTGGTGGGAAAGGAGCCCCAACCTCCCCTTCCCTAAAGTTCAGTCAAGCCTGGGCCAAAAATTACACTGGACAGGAGTAGTTCATGGCCTCCCACATTCTGGAGCCATGAGTCCCCTCTGAGGGAGTCTAGGCCTTACTGTGGTACCCACTGTCAGAGTGCTAGGGGCTGAGGATGAGAGGAGGCACTCACCTGGGCGTAGTTCTCAGCTCGGGTGAGGAGGGGCAGCTCATAGGCAGTGGAGAAGTGGGTTCGAACCTGCTGCATCTGCCCAAAACGCTCCCTCTTCCTCCACTTGGCCCGCCGGTTCTGGAACCAGACCTACAGGACAAAGCAGATGTCTTGGGGTCCAACCTGACCTAGGAAACTTTCGAGGCCTTACCCTCAAGGCCATGCAAACCTTGTCCTAGAGCCACCCCTGATCTGAAGGGCGTGTGTTGGTGCTGGTGGGGGGAGAGAAAAGTGTCATACTCTGTGTGGTGCTCCGGAGCTTCCAGTCTGGAATCATCAATGCTGAGAGTCAGGAAGGTAGCTCACCACCAACCACTGGCATGACCTTGGGCCAGTAACGTCATTTTTCTAACCTTCAGAATCTAGAGCAGACAAGCTCTACACACATAAAACAAGCCACTGACCATCTTTCTAGCCATCATCTAACCAACCCTAGCACCAGTGCAGATTTACCTGCTGGGTCACAGATTCCTGTTGAGAATCTGACAAAAGCTATGGACACCCCTCCAGAATACTGTTCTCCTAGACAACCACATACACAGTTTACTAGAATGTTCATGGCTTCCTGGGGCTTATCAACCCAGATTCAGAATTCTGACTCAGAACCTCGAGGTGTTAAGATGGGTGAGGCCCTGTGGAATAAGGGGTTCAGCTTATCAACAGAGGCTGTGGCAGTCTGCGAAGGCTCCATGGAGGAGAGGATGGGAGCTGGGCCTTGAAAGGTTGGCGGGAAGGAGGAAATCAAGGCCTGAGCTTAGAAACACCAAGGCTCATTCAGGGGACTTGAGGAGGCCATGCTATTCAGTTTTAGAGAAGTAACGCAATGCAACGCACTGCCATGGAGTCAGATCCAACTCATAGCAACCCCTCCTTGCGTTTCCGAGGCAGTATCACTACAGAAGTATATTGCCCAACCTGCATTCTGAGGAATGGCTAGGGGAAGAGAAAAAAGCATGGACTCTAGAGTCAGATGGTGGAGGGCCTCAAATGCTGAGGAAGTGGTTTGTCCTCAGTGCTATCAATAGAGGCAGCCCCTTGCAAACTCTGGCCAGATGTAGAAGAGGACTGAGACCCACCTGCCACTGAGCATGGGTGGCTGGGATAATGACTTCTAGGAACTCTAACCCCAAATACCAAACCTACTACCATCAAGTCAGTTCCAGCTCATGGTGACCACATGTGGTACAGAGCAGAACTGGTCCATAGCGTTTGGCTGTAATCTTTATGGTGAAGAATATTGACTATGCCCTGGACTGCCAGAAGAACGAACAAATCTGTCATGGAAGAAGTAAAGCCAGAAAGCTCCTTAGAAGTGAGAAGTGGCCAGACTTCATCTCTCTTACTTTGGTCATGTTATAAGGAAGGGTCAGTCTCTGGAGAAGGACATTATGCTTGGTAAAGTAGAGGATCAGCAAAAAGAGGGAAGACCATCAATGAGATGGATCAGCACAGTGACTGCAATGATGGGCCCAAGCATAGCAAAGATTGTGAGGATGGTGCAGGACCAGGTAGTGTTTTGTTCTGGCTCATAGGTCACTATGAGTTGACACCGACTTGATAGCACCTAACAACAACAATCTTTATGGAAGCAGATTGCCAAGCCTTTCTTCCTCTGTGCCACTGGGTTTGAACCACCAACCTTTAGGTTAGTGGTCGAGCGCAAACCATTCACGCCACCCAAGACCTACTGGGACCTCTAGGAGAGGAGACATCTCTGAGATAGGTATGTGTGCTGGGCAATTTGGTGGTGGGTAGTGTTGGGGCCTCTGGCTTTGCAAATGTATTTCGGGCAGGCTGAGAACTTTCCCAAGGCTGGTGGGCAAGAGCTGGTTGTGGAACCTGCTACCCACTTCTATGACTTGAGTTAAGGCAAAGTGGTGATGGGGGTGTGGGAGGGTGAGAAAGGGAGAGTGAGGAAGGACCAGCTTCCAGGCCCGGTATGGCTTTAGGTTGAGTCAAAGACAACCCTGGAGCCCCGCAGAGGATGATTTCTCTCAGCCTTGTGTAGACCTGCTGGCTGACCTTGCAGACTCAGATAAAAGTAGGTACATCCCCCAAAAAGCACTCTGATAGCAGCCTTATGGACCAGGAGCACAAGCAGTGTCAAGATGTTGGCTGCAGAGCCACCAGGAATCTTGTGAGGTGCTTAGCAAGGCTGAGACATTGAGCAAACATTGAGTAGGCTGACTGGTGTCAATCCCTGCTCTGCCAGTGAATGCACTTGCCATCCATTGTGACCAAAGCCACTGCAGAGGCAGAGTCTCTCTGTCTCTCCACACTCCTCTGACTGGGACCAGCATGAGGCGCAGAAGGACCTGGTCCTGGGGAATGGATGGGCCAAGCAGCCGACCAGCCTTATTGGGTTTCTAGTTAAGCTGGGGGTTCAGAATTGATCATGGGCTTTACCAATGGCCTCAGTTTCTGCATCCATAAAATGGGGCCATTTTCTGGACTGCCTCATGTGGGTGGAGATGAGCAGCAGGTGAGATAGCTGGGAAATGATGGTAGAATGTTTTCAGAATACTTCACATGGTTTAAGAAGCCCAGTGACTCAGTGGTTAGCTCAGCTACTGACAAAAAGGGCAGCGGTTCAAACCCACCATCCACTCTGCGGAAGGAAGATGGAGCATCTATTTCTGAAAAGATTTATAGCCTCAGAAACCCAATGGGGGTCGCAATGAGTCAGATTTGACTCAATGGCAGTGAGTTTGTTTGTTTTCACACTGTTTAAGGAGCCCTGGTGGTACAGTGGTTAAGCACTTGGCTGCAAATCAAAAGGGTGATGCGTCAAACCCCCAAGCCACTCTGTGAGAGAAAGATATGGCAGTCTGCTTGTGTCAAGATTACAGCCTAGGAAACCCTATGGGGTGTTTCTACTCTGTCCTAGAGAGTTGCTATAAGTCAGAGTAGATCCGGCAGCACATAACCATAACACACTGTCCATTTGTAGTTCCTGAGACCCTTCTCATTGCATTTTGTTAGAGGAGAGATGTCAAAAATGATGGGGTATCTGTGTTAGTGTGGGCTGCCTGCTAGTATGTTCTCCACTCTTGTTCTAATTCCATGTTCTTCCCTCCCTAATCCTAAATAAAAGGAGCTCTGGTGGCATTGTGATTAAGGCATTGGGCTGCTAACCAAAAGGTTGGTGGCTCAAACCCACCAGTTGCTCTGCAGGAAACAGAAATATTTACAGCCTTGGAAACCCTATGGGGGTCGCTATGAGTCAGAATCAACTCGCTGGCAGTGGGTTTTTTAATCCACGTGTGGGATGGGCCTGAGCCATTTCTTCCCAAGTCACCCCATCTTCTCACCCTACCTTTAGTATACGACACGCAGCCTTCCTGTGTCCCCCTAGAGATCAGCCTTCTCTTGGGCTTGGGGTCCCAGCCCCTGCCCCAGAGCTTCCTGGGCCCCCCTTCCTTGGGGGTTTCTGGGGTCCAGGCCCAGGCCGCCCACTGGGAGCCAAGGGTGGATTGGGTCTCCTCCTGTGCGACTGAAATGGGATCCCCCTTTATCAGTGGCCTGGAATGGGGGGCTGGGGGCAGGATGAGAAAATGAACGAGGGAAGCTTGTTTTCATTTCATGTTTAATTTCCTGCAGGCTTAGCTCAGCCTTTCCGCTCCTTCCTCAGCCTCCCAGGGTTTTCTGGGGGGAGGGGGCTGAAGGAGGGGGAGGGGTGAAGCCCACTAGAGGCATCAAGATAGATGGCTTCTTTCTTTCTTTCTTTCTTAGGGGGCGGGGAGAAGGCAAGAAAAAGTTTCTGTGGCTACCACTGCAGGGGTCTCCCTTGAGCCTCTGTAGGTTCCTGGTCCTGGTGTGGGGGTGTGGGGGTGGGAGGTGCCACTGCAGCCACCAGGACAGAGGGCCCAGACCCTGGCGTGCAGGGAGGGACACAGAGCGGAGAAGGAGGTGGCCCACTGTCCAGTGAAGGGGTCTAGAATGGAGGGCGGAGCAGTTGGGGGGGGGTTGTTGGAATGTGATGGGGGGCTGAGGCTGCGTGTGAGGGAGGAGACCGTGGGGAGAGAGGGAGACCTGGGGTTATCCAGGGAAGATGGATGAACAGGCGGGGGAGAGGTGGGCAGAGATAACACTGTCTTTGGAAGGGAGTGAAGGAAGGTCAGACTGAGGGATTTATTTGAGGGCTGAAGATGGAGAGTGGAAGAAGGCAGCCCCCTGAGGGGAGCAGCCAGCTGAGGGGAGTAGAGCTACCTCCCTTCACCCCCTCCTCACAAGTTCCTTTGTCCTTGAGCCTCGCCCTTACATAAAGCCATGGCTTTGGAGCCCAGCTTTTCTGCCCAATTCAAGTCTTGAGCTAAGTTAGCCCCTCTGGTCTTCTGTATCATCACCCAATAAATTGGGTAGGGGTGAAGGTCTCCCTGGGCCCCTTGGTGCTCGTATTTACAGTGTGGAAACTTGGAGTGCCCTTACCAGCCCTGCCAGGGACTTCCATTTTGAATTCCTGAAGCCCATCGAGGCTCTGAGGGTTCCTCTCCAGATGTACCCCCAGTCCCCACAGCCCACCCCTTTGCTTCAGGGCTTCACAGCCCTTGCCTGGACCACTGTGCAGCCCTGTGAAGGACTAAGGAGCTCTTCCATTCTGAACATGGCGCCCGAGACCACCCTGGTCCCAGGCCACCCGGGCCTGGACACACTCAGCACAGGCCTCTCTGAGGACCAGGCTGTGCAAGGAACCAACTGTCTTGGTGGAGGCCTCGCTAACCGCAACCCATCTGGGGCCAGGGCGGGGTGGCCCAGGGCGGGGAGGCCTCTGTCTTATTGTCTTCAGACACCAGCTGTGGAGATTGGAATCCCAGACAGCAGAGAGAGGCCCCTGCAGACCCCTGGAGCTGGGCCAGACCTCAGGGTTCTTTCCAGGAAAAGTCCATCTTGGGCCCCCCACCCGCCCTGTCCCCGTCACCACTCTATGCCAGGCACCTGGCTTCCCACCAGCCGAGTGGGGGCCCTGAACAAGCTCAGCAGAGGCAGGCAGGGGGTTCCATCACGACTCCCACCCCCAGGGCACTGCCAGGCCCAGGGCTCAACCCAGAGGTCTGACGCACATGCAGATCCCACCCACCCTGCTGCCTTTAGACAAAGAAAAGTCTGAACAATTTGGCACATGTCCTGGTACGGCAAACTGAAGTCAAGTAAGCACTGGACTGGGACTCAGGAGTCCTGGCTTCTAGTTTCCGAGGTGCTCCTGAATCACTGCTAACCTGGCTGATCACTGTCCCGCCCCCTGGGCCTCTTCCTCCTCATCTATCAGCTGAGAAGACAAGGTGAGCCTTTCCACCACTATTATTCTGTAACTCTATGGTCCTCCCATTAGATGATGAGATATGCAACATGTCAAGGTTTCCCTTTCTTCCCTGGCTGCCAGGAAGCTCAAGGTTGAAGTATGAGCTCAGTGGTAACTATTATCCTTTGCCTAAATTGTTGATATAATGGCTTCCCCGCTTCATGACATAATTCTCGTTCTTAGACTAAAATAATAAATCTTTAATTTATCAGCTGCCTCAACTTCTTTTTGGAAGTAGGCATGTGTGTGTGTGTGTGTGTGTGCATATGTGCACATGCACATACTTCTTGTTGTTGTTATGTGCCGTCAAGTTGGACCCGACTCATAGCGACCCCTCCTTGGGTTGCCGAGGCAATATCACTATGGAAGTAGATTGCCCCATCTTCCTTCTGAGGAGTGGCTGGTGGGTTTGAACCACCAGCCTTCTGGTTAGCAGTCAAGTGCCTTAGGCACTATGCTACCAGAGCTCCCACATGCACATGCAGAAAAGACCATTTTAAATGTGAGATGATGACTGAAAAATGCCACAGTTGCCCTGGTGCCATTTCCATGTTTGTCCTGGGAGAGCCATCCTTCTTTCAGTCCTAAGTGAATTCTAGTCTCGCTGGCAACCCCATCCATTTTGCATGCAACACACACACACACTCACACGCACATACACTTGTGTGCACACACATATGTGCTCATCTGCACACATACCCACAGATATGCACTCATGTGCACATACATCTCAACAGAAAATAAACTGCATTTTTCCCACACACTTACACAGCACCTCCAGGGATATTCCAGGACCAGTCACCTCCTTTCCCATCTACTCTTGTGTCTCATCTCAAATTCATTGGCTGGGGCTGAAGCTAGATCCTAGGGTTCCTGTCTGGACTCTGAGGCACATGAGGTCACATGACTATTTATCAAGTTGATGTTACGTGCTGTCAAGTCAATTCTGACTCACAGCAACTCCAAGTGAGAGTAGAACTGCCCCATAGTTTTGTTTTTTTTTTGTTTTTTCCTGTAATATTTACAGGAGCAAATCACCAGGTCTTTCTTCCAGGGAGCCACTGGGTGGGTCTGAACCACCAACCTTTCAGTTAGCAACTGAGTGCTTGACCATTGTATCCCTTCTCAAATGACACAGCTGGTATGAAAGGGCTTCTGAAATCTCAGCTGCCTGGCCTGCTCTCCTCAAACAAAAGTTCAGGAGGCCCCAAGAAGAATGAAGCAGGAAGGCTGCCCTCAGGGAATTTACAGTGAACTTACATGGAGGTGTTCAGGCAATGCTACTAATGACAATTCTTCATATGTTGGTTTCTTGCTTATTGGCCTGAGAGCACCTTGAGGGCAAGGCCAGGCTGTCCTGGTCACCTCTGTGTCCCCATTTCAGACCCTGCCACCCAGAAGATGCTCAAGGAGTATTTCCTGGATGGATGATGAGTGGATGAAAACTAAATGAATGAATGAATTCCTTTCTGCATCTCCTGTACAGTCTGTCTGTCCCTGTGTGCCTCAGTTTCTCTGTTTGTCTCCCTATCCCTCCCACTTCTGCCCCTCCCACACCCAGGGACCCCAGACCCCCAATATGCCAAAGCGGCTACAGGACTGAGGTAGCAGAGGTTTGGGATGATGACACATTCACTGGCAACTACCAGTCCTTTTGACATTAGCCACGGTGGGTGAAGAGGTTTCTGGGCTATATTACAGAGGCCTCTGGATTATTAAACAGAACATGGTTGAGGCTGACAGGACTTTTTTGATGCCATAGAACCACCTGCTGAGGATTCAGCAGTGGACTAAAGCCACAGTGCCCTCGGGGCCTGAGTAGCACCGGGGCTCTTTGTCCTTCCACTGAGTGGCCCCAGACTGCTGAGCTGTGCTGCTTTTTAAAAAAATTCCTCCTTATTCCCAGCCTGTTGCTTCCCTTGGATCACTGGAAGGGAAAAAATACTGGCATATAGCAACACCATAACCGCTATTTCTAACATGCTCTGGGTCGAAAAAGCAGATGGAACACATCTATTTTGAGGTGGAAGTCAATCTCCTGTGAACACCGTGCTTGAGCGTTGTGACCTATATTTTGGTGACTCAGAGGTCTTGGCTTCTTTTCTAGTTCTTTTTTTGTTGTGATTTCTTACGGGGAGGGAAAACACACCTCCTTGGAGAAAGGAGGACAATCAATCCACAAATATTGATGGGTTGCCTTTGCTGTTCTTGGAGATGGCCTTATCTAGTGGGGGTGGGGTAGGGAATACAGTGATGAACACAACTCTGTGGCCTGAAGGAACTCACATTCTAGTGGGAGGAGATAAACACATAAAATAACTTATCCACCACCACTGTCTGCCAGTTTGTCAGGCTATTGTGGCTTGTGTGTTGCTGTGAGGCTGGAGGCTATCCACTGGGATTTCCAATACCAGCAGGGTCACCCATGGTGGACAGGTTTCAGCGGAGCTTCCAGCCTAAGACAGACTTGGAAGAAGGAAGGGGTCATCCACTTCTGAAAAAACTGGCCACTGAAAACCTTATGAACAACTTCAGTCAATCATAAGTTTTATAAAGAAGACAAGATAGGACAGTGTGTAGAAGGTGACCTGGTTTGGTTCTGTTGTGTGGTATTGGTACGGGCTATGAAGGGTTGAGTTGTGCTGGACTGGGTTGAGTTATATTGGGCTGGGTTTTTCAGTCTTAGTCAAAGTAGTCAGGAAGATCTTTTAGAGGAGGTAGATTGAGTTGAGACCTGAAAGTTGGAGGAAAAGGCAACCATCCTGGGTAGAAAGAACAGTTGGATTGTTTTATTACTGCCCATTGGTTGCCATGGATGTCTGTTGGTCCTGTTTCCTCTGTGAGATGGACCTTCTAGTGCAGAAACCAATCATCCTTCTCCTTTGTGGAAAGGCCTGGATGCCTACACCATGCAGAGCCCCAGAATCATAGCTACCAGACTTCCTGCCCCTCCACTAGGGCCCCTCCTTCCTTTTCCCTCGCCCCGTATAGAGCACAGTATTAAAGCAGACAAGAGCAGAGTTGCTTTGGTTGAAGCAGGGGCATGGAAAGAAGCCCCATGGGATCTCATTGGCGTAAGCTGAAGAAAGCCTAGGTGATTGATGAGCCGTCAGGAGATCCCAGCTCCAGCAGGCCGTGCTCCACCCCCTGCCCCGAGGTGGCCCCCACTGACCTGCACTCGGGCCTCAGTGAGGTCCGTCCTCATGGCCAGCTGCTCCCGCGCATACACATCTGGGTAGTGGGTCTTCTGGAATACCTTCTCCAACTCCTCGAGCTGGTAGCTGGTGAAGGTGGTGCGGTTCCGCCGCTTCTTACCCTTGTTGCTCTCCGAGTCAGCCTTCTCCAGCGGGCTGGGGAGGTCGGCAGTGGCCCGGTTCTGGGGGCCCTTCACCCCAGCCTCCTTCACACTGAGGTAGCTGTTGTCCATCCCCACAGTGTCAGAGTCGGGCGGTAACTCTGGCTCACCCAGGGAGCTCTCTTTGGCTGAGGGGCAAGGAAACAAGGTCAGAAACCAACAGCTGGACTAAGCAAGGGGGGGGGGGGCAAGAGAGCTGTCCTCTTCTTCTCCCCTCCCGGAGGCATATTGGATATGAGGTCAGGAGACTCGGTTCTACTCTTGGCTTGCCATTCAGGTCTGTGTGACTTTGGGCAAGTCCCTTCCTCTCTCTGAGCCTTCCAGCACCAATGATATGTGAATCTGAGTCAGCCCAGTCTGACTTCTATGACCTTTAACCTATATCCCCTTGCCTCTAGGCTCCTCGCTCTAGAGGGAGCCCCTTTGTAGAACTTCTCCTCTGGCCAGAGAGGATGCTGACCCACTGACTCTGACTCCCTGGACGGAAGAGAAAACTTACTGTGCACCTATGTCTGATCCAGCTGGGCTGGGGATGGGAGGCATACAGGAGAAGCCAGCATTGAGGCCGACAGAGATGTCCTTCCTTTCCCGTGTGGGGTCCAGCAGGAGCTGTGCAGTCTGTGCCCCAAGCACCCAGAGCTGAGGGAAACTCATCCCCTTGCCCACTATCCCACCTCACCTATTGCCCAACAGATGGCTCTTTCTTCCCCAAGTTGGGGAGGTTGACGCAGAAGTCACATTTCCCTTTATAAGCAGCATCCTCTCCTCCAGGTTAGGATTTTGTTTCCTAGGGAAATGACCAGGTACTGTCCTCCCCAGGGACGCTGACGTCTGGGCCCTGATGGGTTTGCATGAGCACATCACATAGCCTGAGCCCCCAGACACCACTGACTGACAGAACGGAGCTCTGCCGACTGCTTTGTACAAGCTCAGAGCTGAAAAGGACTAGTCTGCCCATGCAGGCTAAGGATGATGAGGCTGAGGCAGGGGCAGGGAAGGAGCTTGTTCAAGTTCATGTAGCCCGGTTAGTGTCCCAGGCAAACACACTAGCCCATGGTAGAGAGGTGTACAGCATGGGCTCTGGAGGCAGGTGGGGTGTAAATCCACATCTATGATGATCCCAGCTGTGTGCTCTGGACAGACTTCACCTCTTTAGGCTTGGGTGGGAATATTCATCGGATCTTCTTTATAGGGTAGTTGTAAGCATTAAAGAAGCTAGCAGATATATGTAAAGAGGACACTGGGGGTTCCATGGTAGAATTCTTGCCTTCCACACCAAAGACCTCGGTTCAATTCTAGCCAATGCACCTCATGCATAGCCACCACCACCTGCAAGTGGAGGCATTTCACACCACTATGATGCTGCAGGTTTCAGCAGAGCTTCTGCTCTAAGTTGGACTAGGAAGAAAGGGCTGGCAATCAATCTGCTGAAAGCTGGCTGTGGTGGTTATGTTTGTGTGTCAACTTGGCTGGGCCTGGTTGAGGGGCTGGGCAGTTGTTGCAGTCTCATCAACTCCATGGTGGGATCTACCACAAACAGCTGAGTAGCTGCTTTGGGTATGTGGTCTGTTTCCCATATATAAGAAACAGCGTTGGGAATGGTCTCTAGCTTATGGCACGCTTGGACCCTACATGTAGCCGTGTCATTGTTCAGCCGCCTGCCATGCTGACCAGGGGACTTAAAATGGACTTAAATTAATGGCCTACCATGTGGTTTGGTAACATCGGGACTGTGCTTTTTTACTTGTCAACCTTGGGCTTGGCAGCCTCAGCAGCCAGCAGCTGTCTGAGTGAAGAGAAGCCTCTAGCTCCACTGGGCAGGAACTGGAGGCAGAGCTGAAGCCCAAGGCTGAGGGGCCTTCATCCAGCCCCTATAGCTTGGCACTTTGAACTTGGACTTAAAGCCTCCAAATTGTAAGAATAAACACCTGTCTGTTAAGGCCATCCCATTTGTGGTATATTCTTGTCAGAGCGACACTAGGTAACTAGAATACTGGCCAACAAAAACCCTATGGGTCACAGTGGTCACAATGGTCTGACCCCCAACCAATCATGGGGACAGCTCAAGATTGGTCAGTGTTTTGTTCCATGTGGATGGGGTCACCGTGAGTTGGGGCTGACTCAATGGCAGCTAACAAAAACATCTATGAAGTGCTTAGCACAGTACTGGATATAGGTTTCTGCTGTTATTGTCATTCTCAGCTCTGGTACGGACTTGCAAACCCACAGGCCTTTTAGCATAAGGCACTCGGACCCTAGAGCATCTCCCAGCACACACGGGCATCTGCAGGGGTGTTCGTGAGGCACTGGCCCAGGTGTCTGGAGGCTTGGCTTTGAGTCCCCCTCAGAACTACACTTCCCAGTCTTTGACTTGTTGGCTGAGACAGCATCCATGGTTAATAATAAGAAGCGTGCAGGAGCATTTTACACAATGTGCACTAGCTCTGATTATCACAGCCACCGTCTGTGGGCATGTGAACATGAACCCTCTGAGCCTTGGTTTCCTCTTCTGTAAAACAGGCCCAAGTGACTGGCATTAAGCAGCAGGATCATGCCTTGAGGCCAGGTCTCCTGACTCCGCCAAGATTCTGCAGGCTGGCTCAGGTTCGCTCTCATCCTGGTTTTCTGTCTACACTGGGGGCTCCCATTTTGTTGGGGAGGCTGAGAAGCATGCTTTGCCCATAATTCTCATCCCCCTCTCCTAGACTCTCAGGGAGGAGTGTAGAGATCAGTGCCCAGAACAGGCCTGGAAGCAGCTGGGCCTTTCCTGGGGGCACTGGTAGTGTGGATGCCCCCAGGGGTGGGGCCAGCTCCCAGGCACCCGCACGCACCCGGTGTGAGCCAGGCACATGCAGACAGCCAGGGCTTCAGTGACAGCATTATGCAAACTGCAGCTGGCAGTCGGGCCAAGAGCTTTCAGCAAAGATATTTATCTTCTTGGCAGACAAGTAAGTTTTATGTTTTGGGTTTTTTTTTTTTTTTTAAGGAAAGAAATCCCACCCAGCCTCACCAAAAATAAACATCCCTGTTATGTAACTTCCTGGAGGCCAGACTGGGGGAGGCAGCCCCTGCCCCCTCCTACTCTAGCTCTGTCCCCCAAGCCCCATCCCATAACCCTGTGGACCCTTGGCTGTATCCCCTGACAGTGTCTTTGAGATCAGCCTGGGATTGGGACCATGCCACACAGGACTGGGGCAGGTAAGGTGAGCTGTCTGTTGCAGAAACCAAGAGCTAGTAGGGGCCAGCCCAAACTCTTGTTTTAGCAGTGGAGAAACTGAGGCCAGAGAGGGGTGGGAACATGCATTAATCGGCGACAATAGTCTCTCAGTTTCTAGGCCTGTTCCCTCTCCTTTGGTCTTGGCCTTGTTTTCCCAGGGAGAGAGGCAGGGCCAGAAGGGAGCCAGGGATCTGATACTGAGGGGTCCTGCTCTGCTTATCCTGCAAGGAGAGGGGCTAGCCCCTGAAGACGAGGGAGCAAAGATGCTCCATGAAGAGGTTCTCTGTGTTAAGTTTGTTCTCAGCTTAGCCTGGAGGGAGACAGCAGGCTTCCAGTCTTTCAAGGTGAGCAATGGCGACTGGGGGAGGAGTGGGGAGGGAGCACAGGGTGGTACAAAGACCACCAGACAAGAGTTAGGAGTGTGCTTTCCACCCCAGCCCGACCATGTTCTGCCCATGACTCCAGATCACTCGCTGTTGATGCTGTGGGGTGCTGCTGGGTTGACTTCAACTCATAGCTCCCCATGTGACCCAGCAGAACTGCCCCCACAGGGTTTCCGAGGCTGTAACCTTTGTCCGACTTGATGGCACATAACGACAACACCACCAATCTTTACAGGAGCAGATCACCAAACCTTTCTCCTGCGGAGTCGCTGGGTGGGTTCAGCCTTTCAGGTAGCAGTCAAGTGCTTAACTACTGCACCACCAGGGCTCCATAGACCAGTCATTAGACCACTCATTTCACCACTCATTTCACCTCTGTGAGGTTCATCTATAGAGTGGAAGCCAGAATGCCCAGCTGGAGTGTGGTGAACAGGCAGGAATTGGTCATTGCCTTAGCCCAATGGAGTATCTACCTGCCTTGTCCTTCGTTGGGATCCGGAGTGGGGAGAGGAGAGAAAGATGGGGCATGTCTAAGAACTCTCAATCCAGGCAGATGTCAGCTAAGGGGAAAGCTTAGAGGCTGAAGGATTCTGGAAAATTGATGCTTCTGGTTCTTCGAGGAAGATGAAAGACAACCGTCCCATCTCAACCTCGATTATTAGTCATTATAATGGATTTAACTGTCCCTCCCTAAAAAATATGTTTTGTGAATTCTAACCACTATGTAGGCATACCTCGTAGATATTGTGGATTCAGTTCCAGACCACCACAACAAAACAAGTATCATAATAAAATGAGTCACATGAAATTTTTGTTTCCTAGTACATATGAAAGTTATATTTATACTATACTGTGGTCTACTAAATGCTCAATAACAATATGAAAAAGTTTGAAATATTCCAAGAAGTACCAAAATGTGATACAGAGACATGAAGTGAGTACAGGCTATTGGAAAAATGGCGCTGATAGACTTGGTCCACGCAGGGTTACCACAAATGTTCAGTTTGTAAAAAATACAGTATCTTCAAGGTGCAATAAAGCAAAGCACAATAAAGTGAGATGTGCCTGTTCTTATGGGTGCATCTCATTTGGAAATAGGGTTTTCTCTGTTAATAAGGTCGTATTGGTGTAGGATGTGTGTTAAACCAACCACTTTTGAGATATAAAAGGAGCAGATTAGGCACAGAATCAAGGAAGCAAGGTGGGGAGATGATACCAGGCCATGTGAAGATCTCCAGGAAACCAAGGAACAGAAGCTGAAAAGAGACAAGGCCCTTCCACCAGGACCAACAGAGAAAGGCTTCCCCTAGAGCTGGTGAATTCAGACTTCTAGCCTCCTGACTGTGAGAAAATTAATGGCAGTTTGCTCGAACTACCCACTCTGGTGTTCTGATACAGCAGCACTGGATAACTAAACAGTTATCTTGCTTTAAATCCTGAGGTTAGGTCCCTAACTTGGGCAACAAAGGAAAAGTCACCACTCAACCGGTCAGAATAAGCCAAGGCCTAACAGGTGTTCAGTCCTAAG